AAGTAATAATTCTAGTGAACCTACCTCACAGGATTTTTGTAAAAATAAAGTCAGCTTGCAAAAAGGACATGGGGCCGTTACTAGGTATATACCCTAAAGAAATGAGAGCCATGACAAGAACAGATATATGCACACCCATGTTCATCGCAGCACTATTTACAATAGCCAAAAGATGGAAACAACCTAGATGTCCATCAACTGAGGAATGGATAACCAAACTATGGTACATACACACAATAGAATACTATGCAACACTAAAGAATAATGTAGAATCTGCAAAACACCGCTTAACATGGATGAACTTGGAGGACATTATGCTGAGTGAAATAAGTCAATCACAAAAGGACAAATATTGTATTAGTCCTTTATTGTAAAAGTTAAGGAAAGGTTTATCTATTGAAGGAAATTTTCTTTGTTGGTTACCAGAGGTGAGAGGGGAGGGGAGGGAACACTATTAGATAGATAGAGATAAATATTGATTTGGGTGAAGAGAAGGGCAATGTACCAACTGTGAGTGACCAGTATGGCAGCATTGAGAATGAGAAAGACATAGTACATGGGAAGTACTGACAACAAATATGAACCCTTTTGCATATATAGTACTGAGTTGTCAGTGAAGGCAAACATGGGTATATGGACGGATAGATAGGTGGACAGGCTAAACGATTAGGTATGTCTATGAAATGAGGAGTGTATCCAAGATCATATATAGGGTTGGCAGACAATGGTCCTATAAGTTTATGTGAATGATCAGAATTCCCAGGTGTATAGTAGAGCTGACAAGGGGCAAGGTTGTGGTCACTGCTTGGTCACAGCCAGCTACCCAGAGGGACCAAGTAGTTGAACCTGCGGGCTTGGGACCATAGTCGCAGGGGACATCAAGCTCAACTGGCATAACATACTATACAAAACATTGTTCCACCTCCTACTTTGGCGAGTAGCGACTGGGATCTTAAAAGCTAGCAAGCTGCCATCTAGATGCAACGATGGGTTTCTCCTCGTCAAGAGCAAAGAAGAAAGAAGAAAACCAAAATTAATGGAAACAATTAGTCCTAACGACTGGTACACCATCCGATCTGCAACCTATACAACTATGAGACCAGAAGAACTAGATGGTGCCCAGCTACCACTGTCATCCACTTGGAAGGGATGTAGGAGATCCTGGATAGAGAGGGAGAACAATGTGGAACAAAACTCAAAATCATTTGGAGGAAAACAAAAAAAAAAGAAGGTGGGGACCAGGTTTGCTGATCCAATAGAGCCTGGTAGAACCACTGAGACTATGGCCTCTAGCTGCCCTTCAGGTCTAGAATTGAACCCACACATGTGGTTGCCAGCCAAAGTACAGGCATGTGAATTAAACATTTACCTCAAGTAGACACACGCCCTGGAGAGAACAATCATGGGAGAAGGAAGGGCTGCTTATGCACAGGGAGACAGCTCAGGGCGCAGGAGAGCACGGAGGGATGGACACTGGGAAGAGGTAACTATGGGGAGGCAGTGGGAGGGGAGCTGTTGCATTGTGGTAAACTGCAGTCAATGACATGAGACAAAGTATATGTGAACTGCTGTATGGAAAGTGAATTTGCTCTGTAAATCTTCACCCAAATAACAATTAAAAAAAAAAAAAAAGGACACGGAGGCAGCATCTTCTGACCTCCTCCGATCTCACCAGGGGAAAACAGTCACCATCAATAGCTCAAGGCTTATTCCTATGAGGCCAGACATGCCACCACCCTCCAACCTTTTTACTAATTCTGACACCCGCCTTCCCTCCCTCATTACCTCTCTGTTGGGTTGAATAATTTGTTGCAATGGCCACACAGAACTCACAGACAATACTCATGATTATGGGGTTTATTAGGGAAGTAACAGGGTGCAATTCAGGTTCGGAACACTCAGGATACAATTCTTCCATCAGGACAGTCTCCCCTCTGTAATGCTTTCAGGCACTGCTCTCTGGTCTTTGGCTTCTTGGCCTGGCCTCTGCCCTGCTCAGGCAAGTGTTACAAAGCTCTTTCAGCTCTGCCAATAGATTCACCTAAGTACACCCCACTCCGCCAGCAACCCCCTGCCCAGGAGCACTTAGCTTCCTCCCTCAGAGGCCAGAGAGCCTGCTGCTCTGTCTCCTGCCTCGTGGTTCCACGCCGCCATCTCTCAGCTGGGTGTCTCTCTCGCCGGGTGTCTCTCAGCCAAGAAGGGATCTTGGGCCCAAGGACGTGATCCACTTCACCCCCAGCTCTTCTCTCTTGATGGCAGTGAGATCCCCTCTCTACCTCTCAAAAAAAAAAAAAAAAAAACACCTCAGGAGGTGGTATCACTACACCTGGAGAGTGACAAAACTAACCACTCCCAACATCAGAGTTGTACACACCTTATTTGCATTGTCCCACCCAGTAATCTGGTGGGAGTTACAAAGACTATGACTAGAAAAGCCATACCAAGTAATTCACTGCATCACACAGGTGTTATCTGCAAGGCACTTAGGACAATGCCCGGCACATAATAACAATAGTTAGTACGGACAAAATAAATTTTAAGTTCAGAGGTAAAGGAAGGAATAGTAATAAAAATTAAAAAAAAAAAAAAAAAAAACCGCCATTGAATCAATTTGATGCACAGTGATCCATATAGGGTTTCCAAAGCTATAAATTTCTATGGAGGTAGATTGCATCATCTTCCTCCCGTGGAACAGCTGGTGGGTTTGAATCATCAACTTTCTGGTTAGCAGCCAAATGCCTTACCCACTACACCACTAGAGCTCCTTAAAGGAAGGAATAGAGTCTATTAAAAAAAACAATTATGAAGAAAGAATTGGTGCATTAAGAAATGGAAGTTCTAGAAATAAACATGTAGATGTTGAAATTTTTTAGTCAGTCTTATGGGGAGCATTGAAATTTATTGTGGAGAGGGACTTGTCAGTCCTGGGTTTCAGAGAACCATTGTTGCTGGGGAGACTGGTGACAAAAAGAGGAAGAAGAAGACATCAGGAATAGCAACGACTGATTTGATTCCACCTTCACCTGAGACAAGAATCGGGGTGTGGTAGAGCCTGCCACATAACAAGTTCAGGCACTGAAGACCCTTATCTCTGAAAATCACTGTGTTCGTAGGAGTAGGCCCAGTGGCCAACTGCAGCTAGTTTTCTGGATTGACATCCCAGCTCTGCCAATTGCTAACTGCGTGACCTTAGACGTGTTATGTAGCCTCTCTGGCTCTCAGTTTCTCATCTATAAAATTGCACCTAGGAAAGCAGAGTGTTGGGATTTAGCAGAGGGCTCTGGAATCAGCTCTGATTTAGTGTAGACGAAGTAGTGTAGGTTCTGAGTTCAAGTCCTTCCGACCTTGCCACTTACTGACTAGGCACACCTTGTTATTCAACTTCTCTGCCTCAGTTTCCTAATCTATGAAATGGGGATAATAATAGGATCCCTACTTCATATAGTTGTTTTTGAAGATAAAATGAGTTAATATACATAAAGTACTTTGAACAATCCTGGCCAAGTAATAAGTGCTTGTGAAGTTATTCTAAGAATTAAATGAGTTCATTGATGTACTTAGAATATAGTTGTTACGCGCTGTCAAGTCGGACCCAACTCATAACAACTCCTCCTTGGGTTTCCAAGGTGGTATCTGTTGGGGACCAAGAAAAAGACCTCCAAAAGAACATGATTGCAAGGCACATGTTCTAATTACAGTGAAAAGATGACAAGGCCTCTCTTGTGATTGTTTCTTTTTAGAGATGGCAAGGCCTCTCTGTGGTTGAATACTGCTTTAGGAGATGGCAAGGTCTCTCTCACTGTTAAATACTTAATTGGCAAAACATCATAGTATTGAAAGTAGATGTTATTCTCCATGTTTTTTTTATCTTATTGGGATGCTTCATACTTTGGGTCACTGTGTCCTAGTAAACATTTATCGTTTTACACTCCTTACTCCTGAGAAGATTTCTGTGATTGTTTTAATGACCACCTGTTGTCCTTGAGCACGTAGAGGAGTAAAACTTTAGCTCTGTAGAGAATAAGCTGGTGGCATGACTTCCAAGACTAATGATGTAATCATGTACAAACATATAAATAAAAGTAGAACAAAGGCATCAGGGGTCACTCTCGCAGAACATGCAGGGCGTCTGCCTGGCCCCCGTTCCTCTTAAATAATAAAAAAGAAAACTATTAATCCTTTCCTGTCACTTCATTCCATGACCTGCGCGGTTTTGCAGGATGCGGCAGGTATCACTATGGAAGTAGATTGCCCAACCTTCCTTCTGAGGAGTGGCTGGTGTTTTGAACCACCAGCCTTCTAGTTAGCAGTCAAATGCCTTAGGCACTACACTACCAGACCTCCCTAGAATATAGTAGGTGTTCAGTAAGTGTCAGTGGTGATTGGTGATGTTTTCTAACTAGACTGCCAATTCCTGGATTGCTTCTTCTTCACTAAGTCCCCAGCATACAACTGCTGAATGAACAATGCTTGAATGACTAGATGGTGGGAGGGTGGCAGATGGCGAGCAATCGAGTGGGCGGCAGATGAGTGGGGGAAATGGGTGGTATCCATTGGAGTCAAGAAGGGATGGGGATGCACCCACCCTCATCCTTCCTTCTCCTCCCACACAAGCACACGACTTCATAGGATTGGAAGAGCTCATTGAGTTTATTTGGGAAGAGGGAAGGGGGCTGGAAGTTTCACTTAAGTACACACACATACACACACGCATGCACATATACACACATTCTAAGCAGCATTGCTTCAGAGGTTGACATCGTCTAATTGGGGTTCCCAGATTTCTGAGTCTGACGTGGATCTCAGGGGCCTGAGGAGGCCCAAGCTAGGTAGAAGAAATGGTGATGGGATGGGATCCAGGAGCCTTCCCCCCACCCACCATGCCCTGGGAGCCCCTTCCCCTCTTCCTCCTTGAGAGCCAGCACCTCACTTCCATCCCTGCTCATCTCCCTCCCTCTCTCCCTTCCTTAGAAGGCAGTTCTCAGCTCACCTGGAGGGGATCACCTGGCACCCCAGGTGCCCATGTGCCCACCTCCTTCCCATGCTGGTTCTGGCCCATCAGGGTTGTCCATGTTCTCATAGGAGTCTGCATCTGGATAGGAGAAGGAAGGAATAAAACAGAGGTGGGACTGGAAGTCATCTGGAAGGGGCAGTCAACCTCAGAGGAACACAGGGGCAGTGCCAGGGCACCCACCTTCCTCATGACCGAGACCAGGCTGGCCCTGAAGGGGGTGGAGCTGGGGAGCTGCGTACAGGATCCCTCTCATATCTTCATAGGATTGGGACCCTGCTCCGGTGGGGAATGGAGAATTGGAGGACCAGGAGCCAATGGGGAGCGGGCATGGGGTAGGAAACTACAGCCTCAGGGAAGGAGGAAGACCGAGGAGTAGAGGAAGGTGGGAGTCTGGATTCATGCTGGACTAGGAAGCAGTGATTAGGGTTGCATCAGGTTGAGGGCCTTAGTCAGTTGTAAGGTAAGGGTCAGGTATGGGTTAGATTAAGGCCATAGTCATAAGGAAAGGGTCAAGAACAGAGTTGGAAGGAGTTCAAAGCCGAGTCATGGGTAGGTTGTCAAGAGAGTTGGATTGTAAACAAAGTTCAGGTCTGCAATGGGGCTGGCATGAGGTGGAGGTCAAAGTCAGGGTTGGAACTGGATTGGGATCAGTGTCGATATTTATGGTTGGCATTTGGGGTCATGATTGGGGTTGAGGTTAGGAGTCACATCTAAGGTCAGGATTGGACTTGGTCTGAGGTCAGAGCCAATGTCAAGATTGCATATGGGGTCATAGCTGAGGCCAGGTTAGCCCCAGCTGGGTAAGGTACCAAGTAGCTCTCACCAAGAGAGGTTGCCTCCCGGCTGGGATCCCAGGCAATCCTGTGAGGGCTCAGGAAGTCTAGGAAAGGAAGAGGAAAGTCACCATTCCTCCTGGGCCCCAGCACCACCACCACCCGAGGAATGGGACCATCCTCACACACACCTACTGCCCTGGGAACCGAGGCTAGCTCTTCATCTTCATTCTCGTAAGACTCAGCTACTGAAAAGGAGAGAAGTCCAGGGATCACTCCTGCCCCCTAGGGCTCCACAGCCCTGGGGATCCTCCCAAGTCTCCAAGGCCCTGTGAGGTTCCCACATTACCACTGGAGAAGGAGTCCTCATCCTCAGGACCCAAGGGCCCGTCCTCAGGGTTCTCATAGCCGCTGCCATCTGGTGAAGGAAGGGCAATCAGTGAGGGTCTGCAGCCAACCGCTGAGGAGGCGGAAGGAGGCATGGTGGAAGGCAGCCTTACCCTGGGAGAGTTGGTCCTGCCCAAGGTTGTTGGCATCGTTCTCATAGAAATCAGAGAACTCCTCGCTGTCCGGCTCCTCGTAGGCCTCCCCTTCCTCTTCTTTCAGATCAGGGGGTGAGTGGTGGGGGAACCGAGTTACGGTCCCTGTCTTCCACACACCCTGTCACTGTTCCTGTCACAGGCCACTCCAACTCCCCCCTCGTGAGTTACGACTCCCTCCCTTACCAGCTCCCCTTGGGCTCTGGGGCCTCAAGCCTTCAGCCTCACGGTAGTCGTTTTGCGGGTGTCCAGAGGGTGGAGCAGTGCCCCCCAGGCCAGCAGCCCACCGCAGGGCACGTCCTGGCAAGAGGGACATTGTAAGGTGACGGGGAGGGTCGGAAGACAGGCAGATGGTCAGGGTCCAGGGTCTGGGCTCCAGGGGAGGAGGAGAGGACGCTTTAGAAGCTAGGACTAGCCATGGGGCCTTTAAGCCATGGGGGGAGCTAAATTTGTGGCGTGGCCTCAAGTTCCAGGGTGAGGTGAGGTTCTGGGTACCTACTGGACTAGAGGCTCTGAAACCTGGGGGAGCAAGGTTACGAGTCCTGGAGACAGGCCTTATTTCTAAGCGCGGGGCTCAAACCCGGGTGGGCTCTGCGTTCTGAAGGCGGAGCTCCGAGGTCTGGGAGAAGGTTGGAGCTCAGGGCATTGGAGGGATGAGGACCACTCTAGCTCAAGGCTGGCGGAGAGGCGGGGCCGGATCAGAAGGTGGGCGGGGCCTCCTACCGGTGCCGGAGGTGGTCGTGGGCAGGGAAAGCACGTTCCCGTACTGGTTCTGGGGCCCATTTCCTGGGGGAGGTGTCACTTTGAAGAACCTGGAAGGGGAAGGGGAATTGCATTCTGAAGCCAGGCCTGGAGGGGAACAAGGGGGACACATTCAAGATTTAGGCCAGGCCTTCAGAATTTAAAACATGGCCACTTGTAATTAGCTCCTCTGTGCTGGACAGCCTACAAAGGAAGTTGCCCGAACTTCAAGGGGGCTTCGCAGAGGAGGTAGTTTTAGAGCTGGGCTTTGGAGGTTGGGCAGGATTTCAAGGCGCAGAGATGAAAGAAAGACACCCCGGGCAAGGCATAAAGTGAAAGTATTTGTAGGGGGATGGGGCCTCCTGCGTTACCTCCTGGTGGGGTCCGTCATTCGCTTTCTTTTCCTCCTCAGGATCAGGGCTGGTGGGAGTTGAGGGAAGTTATCAGAGGAGGGGCTGCTTGGTAGAGTAAAGAAAGTTGGGGGTGGTGCACGCGATTTCTGGGGAAATTGCTCGGGTCAGTGAAGGTGATGGGACTTCAAATTCCAAAGGGCCTGGGAAGTTTGGGGAGGTTAGAGGAAGAGTTGGGGGGACAGAATTCAGGGATTCATAGGAGAGGGACAGGGGAGAGAAAGATGGTTGTCAGATAGGCTAGTGTGGGCTTATTGTGAGGAAGCCGGGGATAGGGTTTGGGCAGCCTGGCTGGAGGACATGACTCACCTCTCCGAAAATGAAGAAAGCTCACCAGGGAGCCCAAGCAGAAGATGAGATAAACCATAGTCACTACTGGGACCTTCCAGCCACCAGCATTCAGCAGCCAGCGCAATACTGCTAGAGGGAGGGAACTGTGAAACGAGGACCCTGGGCTGGCATCTAACTTCCCAGCCTCAAGATTTCCAAGTGCCATAAGTCTGGGGGTCAGGGGCAAGACAGTGATCCTTGAAATCTCAAGTTAAAAAGAGGGTTCTCCTCCCTCTCTGCGTGGGGAGCCAAGTCCTAGACTGGCAGAGACCAGCCAGAGCCTGTATCTACTGAGCAAACCATGAACAAACCTTGACTATAGTCAGACAAAATGTTGGGCTTAAGGAGAGCATGAGGATCGCGTCATGCTGCAGTTAAGAACAGTCATGGTGAAAGTTAAGGGCAGTTGAGAGTTCACAGGCTTAGAGTTGGGATTTGGCACACAGCTGAGGTCAAAGTTGTAGTGAACGTTGAGTCTGAGTTTGAGAATCGTGACTTGGGTAGCACAGTATAATTGTATTAAAGAAACAGAATGAGCAAAACATTGTGACCAATTTGATGGATGGGGTGAGGAAAAGGAAGGATGCCACGGTTCCTGGCTTGGACTAGCAGGCAGGTTTTGGTGCCCTTCACTTACAAGCGACCACACGGAAGACTGTAACTGGGGGGGAAGAGTTGAGTTTGATTTTGCTTATGTTGAGCTTGAGGCGTCCATGGAACATCAAATGGAGATTCCACAAAATAACTGGGTAGCATAGTGGCTAAGGCACTTGACTGCTAACCAGAAGGCTGGCGGTTCAAACCCCCCAGCCGCTCCTCAGAAGGAAGATGGGGCAATCTACTTCCGTAGTGATACTGCCTCGGAAACCCAAGAAGGGGTCGCTATGAGTCGGGTCCAACTTGACGGCACATAACAACAACAACAACATGTATGTCCGAACCCTGGAGTCAATTACCAAGGCATAGCTAGTCCAAGGAGCCATGGGAATAAAAGAGGTCAAATAGGAACAGTGTGTAGACAGGATGAGAGCGTGCAGACAGGGATGAGAGTGTGCAGACAGGGATGAGAGTGTGCACATAGAGATAAGAAGAGGAGTGGGAGAGAAAGGAAAATCCTACAAAAGCTGATGGGAAGGAGCAGCTAATGGTAGAAGAAGGTCCAGAAAGGGTTGGAGGAGGTCTTAGAGGAAAGGGTTGGATTCAGTGTTCACTGAAGAGATTGAGGTTCAAGATGAGATTGTACTACCCCTCAGGTTGGAGATCCAAGGTTGACTAGCTTCCAATTGTTCCCTGTAGCCCCACACAGATGCACTACAATTGGACAAAACTCCCTACCTGGCCTGGCGGTGACTTTCAGCTGAATTTCGATGGTCAAGTTGCCATGGTGACAGTGATAGGTGTCAGCATCTTGAACTGTGACCTGGGGTAGCAACACAGAAGTCCCTCCCCAGCGGGTTCCCCGCACCCACATCTCTCTGGGTGGAGAATCTTCCTTCAGGTTTAGGCTCAGCAATGGGATGCTACGCTTCTTGGGGTGCACATGGGTCCAGGAGATGGAGCCTCTGGCCACAGAGGCAGGGGGCACCCCACAGGATAGCCAGAGTATGGAGCCAGGGGCCACGGTGAGGTCTGAGGCAGGGAGAGCCAAAGCTAGCTAGGAAGGCCTAATCCTTCCAGTCCCATCCTCTGCAAGCCCTCCAATTCCGAGTCCCTGCCCCGCAGCCCCTAGTCCCCCACTTCCTGACATTTCTCCAGCCCCTGTCACCTTACCTTGGTTGAGCCTCTGGTTTGGACTGCCCTGAGGTGGGGCACAAAGAGGGTCTGCCTCCCAGATCTCAGGGTGATCTTTGGCCCACACGTACACTTGGGAGCTGGTGGAGGAACCAGCTAAGGACCTGGGGCCCTCTGAGGACATGTTCCCCAGACCACAGCCTAGGCCATCTAGGTCTGAAGCATTCCATCTGAACATCTCTCCTGGGAAGAGACCCAAAACCAGTCAATATCCAGGAGAAGGGGAGAGAGACAAATACAGGAGATGCAGAAAGGCAGAGACAAAGAGAGACAAAAACCCAGAGACTCAGCGAAGTGAGAAACAGAGAAACAGAGACTCAGAGAGGAGACAGTGAGACCATGAGCGATGTGAGCTTCCACTCAGCATGGAAGCCACCCGAGTCCCCCGCATCTAGGACTGGCTCCCTGTCATCAGAACCCCCAGGCCTCCCTCCAGCTGTTTTGGCTCTTGGACTTCCTGCATCCACAGCAGGCCTCCCCTTTCTCTCCCGGCTCCCCTGCCCAGCCCAGCCTGGCCCTTACCACTGCCCTCCACGCTGACTGTCCAGCCAGGCTGCCAGGCCTGCTCAGAGGGGGGTCCTGGCTGGCACAGGTAGAAGCCCCCCATCTGGTCCGAGACGTTGAAGATGATCAGCAGGATGCCCAGGGGCCCCACCTGGATGCCCAGGCCTGGTAAGCCCAAGCTTAGCTCTAAAAAAGGCACTGGCTGGGAGCCCCGATACCAGCTCAGAGGCTCAGAGGACTCCCCCAGGGACTCCTTGGGGCACGGCAGCACGGCATCATCTCCCTCTGTGGAGAGAAAGAGAGAGAGAGAGGCCCGACCCCCCTTTCTCTCTACACACTGACTCCTAAACCCAAGGAGCCCACAAGCTGGAAGTACCATGAGCCCTCAGAGCCCTTCCAACCCCTCCCTGAGTTTTCTAAGGAAGAAAATGGAGGCCCAGAGAGGGTGAGTGACTTGGCCAAGGGCACCCAGGGTTCCGGTCCCCACTCCTTCCCTCTGTGCCTTTCAAACCTACCTTCAACCTTCATCAGCACTTGTTTCTGGGGCCTGACTCCCACCAGGGTAAGGAAGAAGAGGAAAAAGAGAAGGAGAGGAGGTGGCATGGTGGCCAGACTCCCCGGGGCGCCCAGCTTGCCCGCGCAAGGGATGCTGGGGCAGGCGGGGGCTGGGGGGCACTGAACCATGGGTGTCTGCGGGGGCGGGTGGGCAGTCCCCTGGAGAGGAAGGGGTGGTCACGCCTCAGGCCCCCTTTCCCAAGCACCCCCACACCCCCACAAACCTCACCTCCTCCCTGCTACTGTCTCATTTCCATTCCAGCCCTTCTACCACCATATGACATGATCTTATTTGTGTCTGTTTGTTCACTTTCTTTTTCTTCCAGTAGAACTTAAGGCCCTTGCAGAAGAGATGTTGACCTACTCATCAATATATGTCCATTGCCTTAATAGTGCTTGGCACATAGTAAATATTTGTTCAAAGAATGAATTCAGCTTTAGGGGCTCCCTTCTCTTCTTTCTCCCCTCTCCTCTCAATTCTAAGTTCAAATCCACTTCCCTTCACACACACACACCCCAATTCATCCCTCAACAAGCATTTCTTGGCCTCCTTCCACCTCCATACAACTGGCTGTCACACACTCTTCAGTGTGTGGGTAATCTGAATGTAATCCTGCACCTCCCCTTCTTGGTTAAATTTAAAATTTCTTCATCTCTCTGAGGAGTTCTGGTGGCACAGTGCCTAAGGCATTTGACTGCTAAGTAGAATGTTAGTGGTTCAAACCCACCAGCTGCTTCTGTGGAAGGAAGATGGGGAAATCTACTTCTGTAAAGATTTACCACCTTGGAAACCTAATGGGGGTCACTATGAATCAGATTCGATTCGATAGCAGTGGGTTTGGTTTTTTGGTTTTCTCTAAGTCTCAGTTTCCTTCCTGGTAAACTGAGAATAATAGTACTATCCAAAGGCTGAAGTTGTCAAAATTTCATTTCACTTGGATCTACAATCAATGCCCATGGAAGCAGCAGTCAAGAAATCAAATGACTGGATTAAATTAAAAATGTTATTAATTAGATTTAAAAAGAAATTAAACGACATGTTGCATAGCCAAATCTGCTGCACAAGACCTCTTTAAAGAGTTAAAAAGTAAAGATGTCATTTTGAAGACTAAGGTGTGTCTAACCCAAGCCGTGGTATTTTCCATCACCTCATAGGCATTCAAAAGCTCGATAATATAATAAGGAAGACTGAAGAATTGATGCCTTTGAATTATGCTATTGGTGAAGAATACTGAATATATATCCCATGGACTGCCACATTGTTATTTGCCGTTGAGTTGAACCCGGCTCATAGCGACCCCTCCTTGGGTTTCCAAGGCAGGTGTTGTTGTTGTTATGTGCCGTCCAGTCGGCCCCAGCTCATAGCGAGCCCTCCTTGGGTTTCCAAGGCGGTTGTTGTTGTTGTTATGTGCCGTCGAGTCAGCCCCGACTCACTACGGAAGTAGGATTGTCCAACCTTCCTTCCGAGGAGTGGCTGGTGGGTTTGAACCACCAGCCTTCTGGTTAGCAGTCAAGTGCCTTAGGCACTATGCTACCAGAGCTCCAAGGCGGTATCACTATGGAAATAGGATTGTCCAACCTTCCTTCCGAGGAGTGGCTGGTGGGTTTGAACCACCAGCCTTCTGGTTAGCAGTCAAGTGCCTTAGCCACTATGCTACCAGAGCTCCAAGGCGGTATCACTATGGAAATAGGATTGTCCAACCTTCCTTCCGAGGAGTGGCTGGTGGGTTTGAACCACCAGCCTTCTGGTTAGCAGTCAAGTGCCTTAGGCACTACACTACAGAGCTCCTGTGGACTGCCATAAGAATGAACAAATCTGTCTGGGCCTCCATTTTCTTCCTCAGAAAACTCAGGGCAAGGGAGCCCTAGCTTCTAAGGAATGCTCCTGAGAAGCAAGGACAATGAGACACGCCTCATGTACTAGGAACCTGTTATCAGGAGGAACCAGTTCCAGGTAAAGTAGAGGGTCAGTGAAAAAGAGGAAGACCCTCAATGAGATGGATTGACACAACGGCTGCAACAATGGGCTCCAACATAGCAGCCATAATAAGGATGATTCAGGATCAGGCAGCACCTAACAACACAACAACAACAACATCAGAAGGTTGTTCATGAAGATTAAACAGGACAACTTACGTGAGCTTTCCAGCCCAGTGCCCAGCATACAATAGGTCCTCAGCGAGTGAAGGACAGCTTGAGCCCCTGCCTCGCCCAGTTTCTGCCCACCAAAGGCCCTCGTGTCAGTTACGGTTATTTAGAAGTGGGGAAACTGAGGCCCAGAGAAGGGCAGGGCATTGCTCATGATCACAGATGGAGCTGGTGGCGCAGTGAGCCCTAGAACTCAGGAGTCCTGGCTCCCAAATCTGTTCTCCCTTCTTCTTTTCTTTCTCCTCGCCTCTCCTCCCTCTCTCTCTCTCTCCTTGTGTGTGTGTGTGTGTGTGTGTGTGTGTCTATCACTGCTATAGGCACTCAGGGAAAGGGTCCAGGAATGCAAGAGGCCCACTTTCTCGGGTGCTGATTCCTAGGCCTGTCTCACTGTGCTGTGGCTTCCTGTTTGCTCTGGGGAAACCCCAGGGGACCCTCCAGATGGCGAGGCCCCCACTTCCCTTTGACTGCCTTGAGGTAGCTGAGAGAGGAAGAGCGGGGCACTGGGGGATGGAGAAATACAGTGGCAGAACCCTCCTCCACCCCTATTTACCTTTCATTCAACAAAATCTCTCATCTCTTTCATTGGCTTCCCAGTTGCCGCGTGTGCTCAGTCAGAACCTTCTTGCTAGAGCTTATCGGTTCCCTGCTTATAGCATTTCAGTAGCTTTCCTCCAAACCATGGCCTGGGAGGGCCTGAGTGATGCTGCCCTGCCTGCATTTTCCATCTCACCCCTCCCCACCCCTGGCTGTCTTTCCACCCTCAAGGCCTTTGCACTGGCAGCTCCTTCTGTCACTCACGTCTCAGCTCTGACCCCATTACTTGTGCCCTCATGCTCCTGTTTTATTTCCTTCGTAGCATTTGTCCCAATCTCGACTTATGCTTGTTAATTTTCTCTCCCGCCTCCTGTACCAGCATGTTCATCTTCTAGAACAGGGTCTTGACTGTCTTGTTCACTGGCAGCTACTATGTGCTCAGTAAGTATTTATTGACTAAACAACAACAACAACAAAAAAAAAAACTCACTGCCATTGAGTCGATTTGACTCATAGCGACCCCTCCTTGGGTTTCCAAGGCAGTATCTCTAAGGAAATAGATTGCTCAATCTTCCTTCCCAGGAGTGGCTGGTGGGTTTGAACTGCCAGCCTTCTGATTAGCAGTCAAATGCCTTAGGCACTACTCTACTGATAAAGGAAGGAAGAAAACTAGGAAGGATGAAAGAAAGCTTCCTTTTCTTTTCCCTCACACACATTCCATCACCAAGGCTAGTCCTTATCACTATATTTCATTTTTTCAATTTCAATATTTCTTGAATGACTTCTTTCCTCTTTAGACTCTTCCCTTCACAACCAGAGCTATTTCAACAGCCACCATCCTGGGCTCCCTGCCCCTCATCTCTTCCACTTCCCAACTCCACATCACGTGGAGAGAGCTTCCTCAACATTAGTTACATGCCTACCCTGCTCAACAACCTTCAATGGCTCCCAGGGCCTGCAGGACACAATCCAAGGTTGCTATCTGGTATTAAGGTTCTCCCGAGATTGACTGGAGCTTTATTTCTAGTCATCATTACATCCCGTTCCCAAGAAACTCTGCCACACACACCGGGAGCCTGGACTTGATTCTGAGGGCCACAGGATGCTAGTCATGACAGGAAGTGACCTGGTCAATTTCCATTTTCCAAAGCTGACTGCAATGGGGGTGGTGGGTTGGAGGAAGGCCGAGAGACCAGTAAAGAAAGTGTTCATTAATTCATTCATCAAATGTTTATTGAGAACCTCGGAGTCCCTGGGTGGCGGTTTGAGTCTATCCAGAGGGTCCTTGGAAGGAAAAAATCAGCCATTAAAGGCCCTATGGGAGCACAGTCTGACTCCAACATGGGGTCACTAGAGTTGGAATCAGTTACAAGGCAACTGATTGGTTATGTATCTGACATTGGGCTGGGTGCTTTGGAAACAGCAAGGGACCAAAAAACAAAAGAGTCCTATCCCCAGGGAAGCTTTTTTTTTTTTTTTTTAATTTATTTTGTTGTTTTTGAGACTATACACAGCAAAGCACACACCAATTCAACAGTTTCTACCTGGACCATTAGAGACACTGATGACATTCTTCAAGTTGGGCAACTATTTTCAACCTCCTTTTCTAAGAAGTTCCTCTCCCATTAACACATATCCGTTGCCCTCTTAAGGTTCCAATCTAATGTTTCAGGTTACAGTTGTCATTTTGATCCCATGTAGATAGTTCTTAAAAGAATATAATGCTCAAGGCAGATCTTTTTCACTAGTGAAGCTAAACTACTGTTTGGTCTTAAGAAGACATCAGAGATTTTTTTAAATACACATATATATCTTTTTTTTTTAAATTGTGAGTTGGAAGTTTACAGAGCAAATTCATTTTCCATACGATAGTTCATACACATTTTGTTTCATGATATTGATTGCAAGCCCCACAAGGTAATAGCTCTCTTCCTATAAAAGGAGTTCTAGTGGGTAAGACATTTACCTGATAACCAGAAGGTCAGTGGTTCAAACCTACCAGCTCCTACGTGGGAGGAAGATTAGGCAATCTACTTCCATAAAGATTTACAGCCATGGATTTCCAGCCAAACAAAAGACAGGCATATGAGCTGAATATTTACATTAGGTAGATAACATTCCTTGGAGACATCAGTCATGGGAGAATAGAAGGGCTGTGTATGCACAGGGAGACAGCTCGGGGAGCAGGAGTGCATGGGAGGGAAGGACACAGGAAAGAGGTAACTATGGGGAGGAAGTGGGAAGAGAGCTGTTGCACTGTGGGAAATTGAAGTCAATGTCATGAGACAAAATGCACATGAACTGCTGTATGGAAAATGAATTTGCTCTGTAAACTTTCATACAAATTAAAAAAAAAAAAAATCCCTCTTAAAAAAAAAAAAGATTTACAGCCACAGAAACCCAGTGGGGGTTGGTACCAGTCTGAGTGGACTCAATGGCAGTGGGTTGTCTTTCTCATGCATTCCTGCCCTCTAAGCTATCTCCCTGTCCAAATACTGCCCTTCTGAGCTCCCACGGTTGATTATTCTAAGCAGTGCGCCTCCCTGGTGTAATTGTTCACCTTATAGGCCTATTGTTTGGCTGGAAGCTATGGGAGTGAGTTCAATTGCAGGTTCAAAGGGTAGTAGAGGTCTTAGTCTCAGGGGTTTCACCAGTCTCTATCAGACCAGTAAGCCTGGTCTCTTTTATGAGTTTGAGTTATGTTCCACATTTTTCTCCCACTCTATCCAGGATCTTCTATTTTGATTCCTTTCCGAGTGGTTGATAGTGGTAGCCGGGCACCACCTAGTTCTTCAGCGTCTAGTTCTTCTTCATCTAGCCCTCAGCGTCACATAGGCTGAGGTTCACATGCTCCACTAGTCCCTTGGACTAATTCTTTCCATGTGTCTTTGGTTTTCTTCATTCTTCTTTGCTTCAGACAAGGAGAGACCAATTGTTGCATCTTAAATGGCTGCATGCAAGCTTTTAAGACTTCAGTCACTACTCACCAAAGTAGGATACAGAACAATGTTTTTGTACAGTATGTTAATGCCACTTGAGCTCAATGTCAGGGCATATTTTTGGATTAATGTTTAAAGATTATCTCAGGGCAGTAGTTTCAGGGGTTCATTACCTTCATGGTTCCAGGAAGCTGGAGAATTTGAAAGTGTTCTGCATTTTTCTTAGGGAGCTTTGATTCTAGGTTTGGGGTGGAGGGGTCATGGGGGAACAGATAATAAACAAGTTAAAGATAAATAATTTTAGATGTGCTCTGATGTGGTCTAATGGTGGAAAGGCTATGGAGGTGGCTACTTTAGTCAAGGTGGTCAGGGAGGGCCTCACGGAGGAAGTGACATTTGAACTGACACCTGAGATGAGGAGAAGCTTGATATGTGCAAGTAAGCGCATGCCATACTCTTCCCCAGAGATCGGTTGTACCATGTTATATTCCTGCAACATATGAGAAGTCCTCACCAGCACTTAGTGTTACCACTTTTTTCATTTTAGCTATTCTGATAGGTATGTAGTGATGTCTTATTATGGTTTTAATTTACTTTACCCTAATGGCTAAGGATGGGAGCTCTGGTGGCATAGTGCCTAAGGTGCTTGACTGCTAACCAGAAAGCTGGTGGTTCAAACCCACCAGCCACTCTTCATAAGGAAGGTTGGACAATCTACTTCCATAGTGATACCGCCTCAGAAACCTAAGGAGGGGTTGCTATGAGTCAGATCCGACTCGACGGCAGTGTGCTTTCAATGGCTAAGGAGCTCTGGTGGTATACTGGATAAGGCATTTGGCTGCTAACCAGAAGGTCAGAGCTTCAAACCCACCAGCCGCTCCACGGAAGAAAGATCAGGCAATCTACTTCTGTAAAGATTTACAGCCTAGGAAACCCAATGGGGGCTGCTACGAGTCAGAACAGATTCGATGGCAGTGAGTTTGGTTTGAGTAATGACTGATGATGAACATCTTTTCATGTCTTTGTCATCTGTGACATCAATGAAATGTCTGCTCATGTCCTTTGCCCATTTTCATATTGGATTGACCTGGAAGGTTTTAAGCAGGGGTGAGACATAATCTCTTTTACAATGATCACCTGTTACCTTGAGAATAAACTAAAGGGACCGATAGTCAATATAGGGGTAACAGTTAGGAGGCATTGTGGAATTTCAGGAGAGATGAGGGGACTGCGTGTTAGCGCTGGAAATGGAGAAAAGGGGCAGATACCTTCTGGAATACTCAGTACATTGGAGGTAGGGCATCCAGGACCTGCAGGAGGAAAAGACAATCAAGAAGGGCTTTCAGGTGTCTGGAGTGTCCTTTACCGTGGGAGAAACATGTTTGGAAGAAAGCAATCCCGACTTCCGGATGAGTTTCAGTTGCCAGTCACCACCCAGGAGAGAGACGTCAGGTGGGAGGTCGCAGATAATGAGAGCTTGATTTAGAGCAGTGGCCAGAGAAGGAGCCACGGGATTTGAGAGATTAGAAGGAAGCGGTGACTTGTGGGATAACAGAATGGGGGTGGGGACGTGGGGGTATCCGACTTCTACAACTGACAGCAACTTGGGGACTCAGAGGCACCTAAAAAAATGAAGCCACCACAGCCCTACCCCGAGGGACGTTCCACGAGGGCGGAGGTGCAGAGAGGACCCGGCCACAACTCGCTATAACGTTGAGCCTGGCTCCGATGGAAGGGCCAGCAAAGGCTGGCTCCCGGGCTCCGAAGAGAGACCGAGTTTCGCCCTCCGTTGGCTGAGGCCTGCCGGCGTCCCTGAGGAGGTGTAATCTGCACAGAGCTTCGAAGGTCGTGAGCTGACGCTAAAGAAGAGCTTTGAAGAAAGCGCCTCCCTGGGCTTTGCACGGCGGCGGTTCGACCCCGAGAACGCGGCTAAGAGGCGAGCAGTGGGCGGGACCGGGGCGGGGCCTAGCTAGACTCGGGAATCTTCGGCCCAGGCTCGCCACTCCTCCCCCCGACCTCCCGCCGCTGCCGGAGTCCGGGGACGATCCGGAAACAGCCGAGCGGATCCGGAAACAACCGAAAGGACCCGGAAGCGGTGAGGGCGGTCAGCAGAGAGTGCGGGAATCCATCGTTTGCACTAAGACGATGGCGGCGGCGGCGACGGCGGCTGCGGGCGAAGACGGCCGGCGGCGGCCGGGGGTCGGTACGTGAGGGCGCGTCCATGCACGCGAGGGGCGGTGAAATCGGAGGTGGGGCCGAGCTCAGCAACTGGCGGTTTGGGGAGTTGTGGTGGTAGTGGTGAGTGGAGCCTAGAGAGAGGGGCGGGGCCGCGCCGCTGGGACAGAGGAGAGGCGGGGCCTGGACCTTCCGGAGAAGGGGGCGTGATCTGACGTTTCAAGAGGTAGGGCCAGTGACAGGTGAGAGATGGGGCCCAGTGAGGGAAGGGGCAGAACCAGTGGGCAGAGAGGACGGGGCCATTGGAAGGAAGGGGCCGAGTCCGCAGAGAAGGGGGCAAGAAACCGGGAAGAGGCGGGGCCCGAGGCAACATAGGCGGAGCTAGTTAGGAAGGAGGCGGGGAAGAGGCGGGGTCAGGTGAGAGAGGTAGGGACAGATGAGCGTGGGACACTCTGGCTGCAGTCCTAGTTTGTAGGGTACGGATTTGCAGGGGCATTGGGGATCCTGGAAGTGATGGGAAGAAAGGTTGATCCCTGCCCCCTACAGCGCTGGACCCCCAGCCCCAGGAGGAGGCAAAGGCTGAGGCCGAGTCAAGGGAGCTCTGCCGCCTTCGAGCTGAGCTGGCAGGCGCCCTGGCGGAAATGGAGACCATGAAGGCTGTGGCAGAGGTGAGCGAGAGCACGAAGGCCGAGGCTGTGGCTGCAGTGCAGCGGCAGTGCCAAGAGGAGGTGGCCTCGCTCCAGGCCATCCTGAAAGGTGAGAAGGGGCTGCCCCTGCGCTCTGCCTTTCAGTGTGTACAGAGGAGGGTGTGGCAAGAGAGGGTTCAGCCAAGCGTTGCTGGGACACGGATAAGTTCTGGGTAGGTTTGCCGAGAAATAGGCGCCCTTTCATTTGCATAGAGTCCTGCATCTGCCTTGCAGCAGTGCTACCGGTTACAGCTCAGTTTGGCTCTGAGCACTGACCTGTTCCCATGCCCATGTCTTTTCCTGTCCCTCACTGATGACTGGTCAACCCTGAAGATGAGTAGGGCACTTCTCAGTTCCTTGAAGCAGCTTCATTTCAGTTCGGCCCTCTGAGCTGCAGAACCAGCCCTGAGCCCAGTCTCCGTGGGACTCGAGTCCAGGCCTCGGGCCTCCTTCTGTCCCTGGCTCCCCTTCCTCCATCTTTCAGCCTCGCAATTGGTACTCGGCATGTCCAGCTCCCCTTGCCCCAGACTCCTGGGCACTTTTCCTATGTCCTTCTCCTCTCAGAGGTCCTTCTGAATCTGTCCCCAGCCCTCTGCTGCCACTGTAGTGGGACCCTTGTCAGCTGTCTCCTGGACTGTCACCCCAACCTTCTCACAGGTCTCCTTCTTTAATCTGGTCTTCACATTTGCCTCCAGAGTAAACTTTCCCATTGTTTCTCATCATTGCCCTTTCTAAAAACCTTTCCTGGCTCCAAACCTCTCTGCGGCTCTATTTCCTGCATTCGAGGCATCTACCTGTGTAAGGCAGTCTTATCCTCATATGCCTCAGCCAATTTGTTCTTTAAGTAGACTGGCTTTCTTAAAACTTAAGTGAATTTTTTTAAAGGAAACTTTTTAACTCTGTAAGAAAATAACAACATTGAATACTGGCTGTGCTAAATGCTTTACAAGTATTTAATCTTCATCACGAACTGTGAGATAGGAACTATTATCCATCTCCATTTTCCAGAGAAGTCTCTGAGGCCCAGTGAGGTAAATATCTTGTCTATGGTCACACAACCAGAAATTGGCAGAAGATTTGAACCCCGGCAGTCTGGCAGCAAAACCTTGCGTGTTCCACCCAGTATCACCTCCTCCCACTGATGTGCAGGATAAATTCCAAACTCCTTGCAGTGGCATTCAAGGCCACTGCTCCCCTGTCCCCACTTCCCAATGTCTGTCCTCAAAGCATCTTCAATCTGGCGCCTCCCAGCATGCCCCAGACATACCAGCCACTGTCCCACCTCTGAGCTTTTGCTCATGCTTGTCCTTTCCTCCTTCATCTAGCGATGTCTACTCCTCTTCATCAGATCACAGAAGGAGCGGCTTCACAAGCCCAGGAAGGGTTCTCCCACACCACTCTTCTCACACTGCATTGTAATTATTTCCACAGCTGCCTTCTCCACTGGACTGTGAACTCCTGGTGGGAGGGTTTGTGTTGGATTGAACCCAGCTCAGAGTCTGGTCCCAAATTAATATTTCTTACTATTCAAATACTGATCATTATTACATATTAAGGAACTCTATCATTATTACATATTAAGGTTCAGTGCCTAAGGCATTTGACTGCTAACCAAGAGGTTAGGGGTTCACACCCATCAGCCACTCAGTGGAAGGAAGATGAGGCCATCTACTTGCGTGAGGATTTACTGCCTCGGGAACCCAAAGGGGGTCATTAGTTGGAATCAACTTGATGGCAGTGTTTGTTTTTTGGTATTATTATATATTATATAATATATATTATAAGGATCAAATATTGATTGTTGCTGGTACTTGTTAATACAAATAGATGCCATTATGTTAAGTGTTTATTACATACCAGGAAGAGGGCTGACCTTACATATGTCACCTCATTTAATCCTGTAACAGCCCCGTGAAGTTCCCGTCAGTATCACCATTTTGTAGCTTGAGAGCACTGATGCTCAGAGAGGTTAAATGATTGCCCAGCTCCCATGGCAGTTGAGCAGCAGAGTCAGGGTTCAAGTCCAAGTCCGTGTCTCTGCAAAGCTACTATCTGAACCATTACAGTCCATTTTCTCACAGAGTCGCCGCGTCAAGATCCCGGCTCAGCACAGGCGGGGCCTGCACGCTGATGCCCCTTCTCCCCGCCCTTCCCGCCCTGGCAGACTCCATCAGCAGCTATGAGGCCCAGGTCGCTTCTCTGAAGCAGGAGCGCCAGCAGCAACAGCAGGACTGCGAGGAGAAGGAGCGGGAGCTGGGCCGTCTGAAGAAGCTGCTGTCCCGCGCTCACCCGCTGGACTCCTTGGAGAAGCAGATGGAAAAGGTTGGGGCTGAGATGGCTCCCCTTCCCCCCCAGATTTGGGAAAAGGTCGAGGCAACCAAAGACCTTAGGGCAGAGGGATTGTTGGTGTCCCATTTCCGATCACTCGGGAGCAGGGCACCCAGTAGTAATTCTACATAGAGAAGTTACCAATACTGTGGAGGGCTGGGCTCTCCAGGAGACAAGGTTCTGGCTGGCCCAAGACTAGTGGGATGATCTTGGGCAAGTCAGTTTACCTCCAGAATTAAGAGAGAAGAAAGCAAACACTTAAGAATACCTCTCATTCAGTGAACACTGTGCTAAGTGCTTGACAGAATGAATCTTCCCAGTTTTTCACCCTGTGAGGTAGACCAGTCAGACTCATTTGACAGATGAGTAATGTGAAGCTCAGAGAGGGTCAGTACTTCACCCAGGGTTACACAGCTAGAAAGAAGCAGAGTTGAGATTTAAATCCAGACAATCCGCTTCTAAAATTTTTATTCTTAATCTCTGGGGTATATTGTTTCTTTCTTATGATTAGGAGCCCTGGTGGCCCCGTGGTTAAAGTGCTTGGCTGCGAATTGAAAGGTCTGTGGTTTGAACCCACCAGGCACTCCACAGGAGAAAGACATGGCAGTTTGCTCTCATAAAGATTGGAAACCCTATAGGGCAGTTCTACTCTGGCCTATGGGGTTGCTATGAGTTGAAATCGACTTGATGGCAACAGATTTGGTTTTATTATTATTGTTATTAACAATAATAAGCACATATTACCTAACTCCTCTTTCAAAGCAAGTCCACATGTATTACCTCATGTGATCATCACTGCAGCCCTATGAAACAGGTATTAATACCTCATCTTATGCATCAGGAAACAGGTTCAGAGAGATGGAGTAAATAGCCCAGTTAGCAAGACAAAGATCAAAACAGGAGCCCAGGAAAGGAAGACTTCCAGCCCATGGCTTCCTAGCCGCAGCTGCTGCTTGCGCTAGTGTTCCTCGGGGAGCAGTTACCCAGGGTGGTGAGGGAGCGGGCTCTGCTAAGCGAAAGATGCCTGGGACAGCAGAAGAGCATCAGGCCTGGGGTCAGGTCGAGTCCAGCTCTGGCCCAGCCCCTGAGTGCAGCCATCCCTCCATTGAGCATCTGCAGAGCATGCATCCCAGGCCTTCACACAGGATCAGAGGCTTTCTGTTTCGGCCATGAAGGCTTACCCTGCATCTTGCCACTGCTCCTATCAGAGGTCTGGAGAGTTAAATTGAGCTTGTTTCTGTGAGACAGGTTTGAGAACAGTTCAAGAGGTAAAGCAGCAAGAATTGGAAGAAGGTGGTGACAGAGGAGACAGGAATAACTGGTAGATTGCTGCCTCGAGCAACTGGATGGGTGGCAGAGCCATTCTTGCTGATCCAGTGCTGGTGGGCGGGGCAATACCATCGAAGAAGAATTGGTTTCATTTTGGCTGTTAGGTAGTGCCTAAGGCATTTGACTGCTAGCCAGAAGGCTGGCGGTTCAAACCCACCAGCCACTCCTTGGAAGGAAGACTGGGAATCTACTTCCGTAGTGATACGGCCTCAGAAACTCAAGGAGGGTCGCTATGAGTCCAGTGGACTTGACGGCAGTGAGCTGTGAGACGTCCCAGTGGAGATGCCCAGAGGCTGTTGGCTCTGCCTGTTCAGCAGAATTCCCAGCCTGAAAAGAAGTGGTCAACGATGTGGTGGTGATGGGCGACTGAGGGGATAGAGCAGTTAGCATGAGGTTTACCCATGTGACTGCACATCCGAATTAACAGCGAGATGAATAAGATAGAAGTTTATTTTTCTTCAAGTCCAAAGGTAGACATTCCGAGGCTGGTATGACAGCTGTGCAGGCCATAGGGAACTCAAGCTCTTCCTATATGACTGTTTTGCCATAGGCATAGTCCAGGATAGCTGCTTAAGTGCCAGCCATCATGTCCACATTCCAGCCAGTAAGAGGAACAGGGGAGAGGAAGAGGAAAGAAAGGCACACCCTCCCTCTTTAAGCAATTGTCCTGAAATTGGCATGTAGCACATCTAGCTGGAGCCTTGTCATAGGGCCATGTTTCATTGTAGGTGAAGCTAGGAAATGTACATGGTATTCTAGAATTTAGGCCATGTGACTGACTGTGCGAAATTTTACCACAAAGGAAAAGAGAAAGTGGATATTGGGGAAGAAAAGTTTGAGGAAGAGAAGATAGCCGTGACCTTTGCCCCTTTACCTACCGTGTAACCTGGGCCAAGTCCTGTAAGGTCTGAGGGCCTCTGTTTTCTTATCTCTAGAAGATGGGATGGGGTGGGAAATGGTACCTTCTTGAGAGGACGAGAAGGGCCGACGTGCCTGGAGAGAGGCGGAGCAGACCCGCAGGTCCAGCCGTCAGGAAGAGGGGTTGTCACTGCCGACCCCCGTCCCCAGGCCCACGAGGACTCGGAGAAGCTGCGGGAGATCGTGCTGCCCATGGAGCAGGAGATCGAGGAGCTGAAGGCGAAGCTGCTGAGGGCGGAGGAGCTTATCCAAGAGATCCAGGTGAGGGGGCCGCCAGGGGCGCAGAGGGAGGGAGGAGTGCCGCAGGACCCCAGCCCCTCAGCCTCTTCCCTGCCCCTCCTTCCTAGAGGCGGCCCCAGCACCCCCCTGCCCTGCACTGCCCCACGGAGCTGCTGCCCCTGTCCCGGGACCCGTCTCCCCCACTGGAGCCTCTGGAGGAGCTGAGCGGAGATGCAGGTGCAGCGGCCGAGGCCTTCGCACACAACTGTGACGACAGTGCCTCCATCTCCTCCTTCTCCCTCGGCGGTGGGGCCAGCAGCAGCACCTCCCTGCCCCACAGCCGTCAGGGCCTGAGCCCTGAGCAGGAAGAGACTGCCTCCCTGGTGTCCACGGGCACCCTGGTCCCCGAGGGCATCTACCTGCCCCCTCCTGGTTACCAGCTTGTCCCAGACAACCAGTGGGAGCAGCTGCAGGCGGAGGTGAGCAGAGTGGGCGTGGCCTGTGTGCTTGCAAGTGTCCCTCACTCCCTTCTCCAAGCATTTATTGAGCACCTACTTGGGCCAGTCCCTGAGCTGGAGCTGGGAGGCCACAGTGAAGAAGGCAAACTCCTGCCTGCTTGGAGCTTCTGCCGAGGGAAGGCAGTCAGCCGTACACATGCAGGTGGATGCTTAAGAAGGACCATGTCACAGAGCGCGATGCTCAGAAGAGAGCTGACTAGGGTCCCGGTGTGGTTATCAGCAGTGCAGGAGGCCAGCTGATCCCACTAAGGCCTGAGTTAAGGCCTGAATGATGAAAAGGAGGTGCTCTTTGAAGTTCAGGGACAGAGGGACTGCAGAGGTACAAGGCCCTGAGGAAGGATAGACTGGTGCGTCTGAGGACTAGGGAGGCCACCAGGTGGAGGGTGGGGGGTGGGGATCAGGAAGGAAGGGTCCTCGTGAGGTCGGGCCTCATTGAGCTGCCTCAGCGTTAAAATATTAGAGGAAGAGCAGTGGGAACCTTCCAGAGGTTTTAAGCCAGAAAAGGCCTGTTCTCCTTTACGCTTTTAAAAGACTAAGGAGCTCTGGTGGCTTAGTGGATAAAGCATTTGGCTGCTAACCATAAGATCAGTGGTTGAAACCCACCAGCTGTTCTGCGGAAGGAAGATGGGCAGTCTACTTCCGTAAAGATTACAGCCTCGGGTACCCAATAGAGGTCGCTGTGAGTCAGGATCAACTCGGTGGCAGTGAGTTTTGGGGCTACTGTATAGGAAGACTAGGGGCCACAGGGCACCAGGAGGCACCAGGAGACCAGGTGGGAAATGAGGTAGAGGTCAGAAGGAGGAAGTGGCTGCGACCAGAGGTGATAGTGGATGTGGAAGGAAGTGGATGGGGTAGGATACACTTCGGCAGTAGGGGGTCAGGGCCTGCTGATGGGTTGGATCTGGAGAGAAAGGGAGGAGTCACTACGGCAGCATCGGTTCCTGAACATTTGGTCTGAGGGGCTGTGAATGATGGCGCTCACGGGCAGAGGCATGGGATCAGAGGGAGCCAGGGAGGCCAACGCTGGGGAGACAGAGACTGAGGTCAGGGCTCTGTGGCAGGGGCGGCAACTACAGAAGGACCTGGAGACCATCAGCCGTGAGCGGGATGAGCTACAAGAGGGCCTGAGACGGAGCAACGAGGACTGCACCAAGCAGGTGGGTCCCCGCTCAGCTGGACCTGCCAGTCCTCCTCAGGCTGCCCCTGGCCTCACCTTCGCCCTCTGTCCACCCACAGATGCAGATCCTCCTGGCCCAGGTCCAGAACTCGGAGCAGCTGCTGCAGACCCTGCAGGGGACCGTGAGCCAGGCCCAGGAGCGGGTTCAGCTGCAGATGGTGAGGGCCCGGCCAGGAGGCGGGGGTCTGGCAGGGTTAGAGGGAGGGGCACATGGGGAGTGGAGGCACCTGCCCTGCCCCTTTCCCACTCTGCTGCACCCTTGAGTTGGTGCCGAAAGAGCTCCCGCGGCAGCTCAGTGCTGTGGCCGCGCAGGGGCTCGAGTCAGACAGGGTCACTGTGATCTTGAGCTCCTCCTACAAACCCGGAGCCTCCTGTCTATAACGTCGAGATGCGGGGACCTGGTTTGCAGAGTTGTGAGGACTCAGTGCAGCGACTGTGAAAATAGATGTTCAGCAAGACCAGAGGGCAGAGGTCAATGGTTAAATCAGGCCAGTTGTAAGACAGCATCCATCGTAGGGGCCGTGGCAAACCGGGGAGCACGGGACCTGTCTGGAGGGGGCGCCGCTATCACCCGCGGGAATGCAGACTCTGCATGGCCAGACTGTCTGGGTTTTCCAGGGAAGCCAGAAATCTGCATATTGGTGTGATGACTCAATTTTCAAAGTTGGCCTTTAATTTGAAAGTTTACAAAAAAGCGTGTGGACCAACTAAAACGCCAGATGTGGCCTACCAGAGTGGAAAAGGGCCTGGAGGCTGAGGACACTGAAGAAAGGATGTTCTTTCTCTTTCTTGGTAGTTAAGGAAGGCGTGGATGCTCCACCTTTCTGTCATGGCTGGGAGGCTCCAGGGTTTGACCTCACAGGGAATCAGAGACACCCTGTCCCCCGCATCACCTGGTACTAACTGCCCATCCCCAGGCAGAACTGGCCACCTCCCACAAGTGCCTGAGCCAGGAAGTGAAGCGGCTGAACGAGGAGAACCAAGGTCTCCGGGCTGAGCAGCCCCCATCTGTGGTGCCCCAGGACCTGGAGCAGGAGGATTTCCAGGGAGAAGCACTGTCCAGCTTAGTGCCGGTAAGGGGAGTAGTACTGGGAGGCCACCCTGTGAGTCCTCCTTCTCCAGGACAGTGCAGCGTTGGCCTGGGGCCGTAGGGCTGGTTGACAGACCCAGTCCTCTCTGTATTAGCTGCATCACTTTGACCACCTCACTTCCCGTCCTCTTTCTAAGGCCCAGCTTCCTCATCTGTAAAATGGGACCCACACCCTTCCCAATGTTGGTGTGAAGAGAAAATGAGTTAATAGAATGCTTGACACAAAGGCAGTCATTTGGTTTGTTGGTTGGTTATTTTTAAGTGACATCAGATCCACTAAATTGGATTCGTTACAGTCTGTGGTTCATGACAAGGTGTCATCGTCGGTCTTACGTGGCCTTTAATTTGTTATTAACATAGATCATTCATAATTTACTGAAAATAGGAAGGACGCCTAGAACTCTTCCCCACCCTGAGAACTGGAGCTTTCATCTACTTGTGTGGACCCTGTGGCCCTGGGCGCTGTCATTTAGTGGCCATTTGCCCTGTTTTTGATATCCAAAACCCAACCAAACCACTGCCATCGAATTGATTCTGACTCATAGCGACCCTCATTGGATTTCCAAGGCTGTAAATCTTTACGGAAGTAGATTGTCTCATCTTCCCGAGGAGCAGCTCGTGGGTTTTGAACCACTGACATTCTGATTAGCGGCTAAATGCCTTACCCACTATGCCACCAGAGCCCCTTCTTTTTGGTACAGTTAGTGTCATGTATACATGTGTGCCTAAACAATAGCGTGCTCAGGCTTCATTGTTTTTGAGCCTTATAAAACAGTCTTGAAACCAGACAGGTGGGCTCCCACTGGATGTGACTTCCAGGCCAGTAAAGAGACAGCAGGCTTTCAGGGCTGAGAAAGGAAGCATCACTGCAGGCTGACAAGCATGGAGCTCAGAGACTGCATCTCAGATCGGGCTCCCGAAGCTGGGGATTTCAGGGTGGATATAGGCTATGGAATAGGACATTCGGATTGTCCGTGGGCCTTCCAGGAACTCATTAACTATACATTAGGCTCCTAACGTGGGGGGGAGGGGGGACAGCGTCATGCCCCCAAGGGGTGTGTTTGTTAGGTTCTCACTTAAGAACTTGGCTGGTGTTTCCGTCCTTGTGGTCAAGCTACCTGGGGCGGGGCATTCTTACAGTATTTCACTGTAGATGACCTTCTGGAACTTTCATTCAGCACCATGACTGGTAGCCATGCCCACTGTCACATGGGGCTGTGGTTGGTTCATTTCCACTGTGCATAACAGGCGCTGCCAGTCCACAGCGTTAACGCCATCTCCCAGTCATTGGCATTCCGATTGTTTCCCATCTTTAACAGCTTCCTTCCTTTCCTGCTTTGTGTTCCCCCTCCTCCCCGTGACCTGGTCTAGCCCGTACCCCTCCGCCCTGCTGCCCCTGCCTCCCTTCCTGTGACCCGTGTCTAGCCACTCGTGCCTCTGCCTGCCTCCCCGTGACCCACATCTGGCTGGTGGCCCACACCCAGCCTGTGACTTGCGCCCCTTCCAGGAGCTGCAGCAGCTGGTGCGACGCATGCGGCTGGAGGCGCGGGCCCGTCAGCAGGCCTGGAAGCACGAGGCAGAGCGCCTGCGCATTGAGATTGTGACACTGCGGGAGGCGCTGGAGGAGGAGACGGCGGCCAGGGCCAGCCTGGAGGGGCAGCTGAGGGTGCAGCGGGAGGAGACAGGTGAGGCAGGCAGAGATAAACAGCCCACTCCCAGGAGGCCGACCGACCTCCCGTGGGGACCAGGCGTGGGCCAGGAGGGGGTAGAGGAGACAACGCGAGAACTCACCTTGACCTCTCTCTTCCCTTTCCACAGAGGTGCTAGAGGGTGAGTAGGGGCTGGAGCCCGGGCGGGGGGAGGGGGGATGGCAGGGAAGGGAGCAGGTGCAGGCCTGACTCGCCTCTGTGCCTGATGCCCCAGCTTCCCTGTGTAGCCTGAGGACGGAGCTGGACCGGGTCCAGCAGGAGCAGAGCAAGGTGAGGATGCCGGGCTGATCTGGGCTGGTGGGGAAGGGGCCGCAGTGTGAAGATGCTCAGCAGCCCTTCATGTCTCCCTCAGGCTGGGCGACAGGAAACACTGAGGCCGGCACCAGCCTCGGGCCAGACAGAGGAGGTCAGAACCGTGGGTGGTGCAGAAGTGGCTCCTGTGTCCCGACGCCCCCTTCCTCGGCCACGTGCCCTCCTGTCTGGCCTGAGGCTGAGCCAAGGCCCCAGCCCCGTGTCCTGTTCCCCTAGGTCCCGCTCACCGTCCTCCTCTCAGAACAGAGGGCCAAGGTGCTACGACTACAGGCAGAGCTGGAGACCAGCGAGCAGGTGCAGAGGGATTTCGTACGTCTGTCCCAGGCCCTGCAGGTACAGCCTGTCCCCTCGCCATCAGGCTGCATGACGCCAGGGAACGGATCCTGGGTTTTGCAAGGATAGTCCCCCAATGACAGGAGTCTTCCTTCTGGGGATGGCTTGGCCCTTCCCCACTGAGCTATTGCTCCAAGGAAGCTGACATCTTTTCTGTATGTTCTTAGTCACATGAAGGCCTGGCATGAAGGTGTGTGATGTGTTTGTTCTATAAACCCTTCCGGTGATCAGCCCTCCCAGCCGTCCCCAGGGTGCTCTCTTAGGACCCATCTCCTCCTTGGAACCCCATCCACCGTCGGATGGGGGAGATGGGGTGGTGTTCACCCTTAGTGGACTGCTGGGTCCGGAGGGGCTGTGTTTCCCCACCAGGGGTCCTCTGTGCTCCCCGCTCCTGCCCACAGGTGCGCCTGGAACAGATCCGTCAGGCAGAGACTCTGGGGCAAGTACGCCGCATCCTGGATGAGGCACCCCTCAGGGACGTCAGGGACATCAAGGACACCTGAGGGGCCAGGCGAGACCCTCCCCTACTCCTCCCCACCGAGGGGAGACTGCCGATCTTCACAGCCCAAGGCCTGGGCTTTGGGGCTTGGGATGGATGGAGCCTTTGCCCTCTGTAGGCCTAGGCCCGGGGTGATGGGGCTACCACTGGCCTGTCCCCCCAGCACCTCCTCCCAGGGCTGGCTGAGCCTTCTGCTCTCAGGGATGACACCTGGGTGAGGGTCCCAGCCCTTCCCAGAACCAAAGGTGCAGGCTCAGCCCTGCTGCTTTCTGGCTGCCATGCTGCCTCCTGGGCCTCTGCCCTCCTCTGCCCACCCCTCCTCTCCCCCACCCCTCTGCCCCCACCCCTCCTCTCCCCCACCCCTCTGCCACACCCCTCCTCTTTCCCTACCCCTCCTCTTCCCCCACCCCTCCAGCGAAACTAACAGTCCATGTCTGTTACTGCCTGTCCCTTCCTGGCCCTAGGCACAGCCGTGAGCTTTGGGATCTTCCAGTCATAGTCTCTGTCGCACACATGCGCACACACCAACACCCACACACACGTGTACTCGCCCTGGAACAGGCAGCTGCTTTCTGGACTGCATGGCACTACGAGGCTCATCCACAGGGGTGCAGCCCAGCCCAGCCCCCAAGATGTGCTCAGAGGCGAAGCCAGAGTTTTCTGTCATTTATTTTCAATAAATAAGCAGCTCAGATCAATCGGTTGCCTTGTCCCTGCAAGCCCCACAAGGTTGGGAAGGGGGAAGGTTTTACAAGGTTAAGAGGGAAGGGTGGTTTGCTGGGACAGGGGAGGGAAGGGTTGGGCTTGGAGTTTATAAACAGAAACATGGACGGGGGAGTAGAAGGACATGGGGTGGGTCTGTGCCACAGGTCTGGCTGAAGATGCATCACTATCAGGGTGGGGAAGGAGAGGGCAGAAGGGCTGGTTACTTCCTTCTTTCATCTTCTGGATCTGGAAAGAGAAAGAAGGGGTGAAGCAGTTGGGGGCAGGAGGAGAGAGGGAACGTACCCTCCAGGCTGCTGGCACCCTCACCTGGAAAGTCCCCCGTCACCCCACCCTCATCCGACGCTACTCACCTGTGTCCTCAGACCCCACTTCCCCAACCACCGCAGCCCTAGCAGCAGAGACAGCTCAGTGCTTAGCCAGCGCGGTGTGGCGCGGCGCGGCGCGGCGCGGCGCAGGGACACAGGCCAAGGACGCAGCGCAGTGCAGCCAGAGCAGCCCAGCCCAGTGACACTGGGGCCCAGGACACAGAGCACGCAGCGCAGCCGAGTGACACAGGCCTGGGACGCAGCCCAGTCCAGCCAGAGCAGCCCAGAGACACTGGGGCCCGGGACACAGAGCACGCAGCGCAGCCCAGCCCAGAGACACTGGGGCCCGGGACGCAGCGCAGCCCAGCACGCACAGTGCAGTGTGGCCCTGCCTAGCCCAGCTGCCACTGGTGCCTGGCACCACCCTGGAGAGCAGCACTGACTCCCAGTCAGGGTGCCGTGGCCCACTCCCATCCGAAAGTGCAGTGGGGGGTTGCAGCAGCAGCAGTGGGGCTCCAGGTGGGGTTACAAGTTCAAGTGACCTCAGGTGTGGAGGGTGGGGGTGCAGGCAGCTGGTGGAGCAGCTATGGGCAAGGCCAAGAAGGGGGCAATACCTGTGACACGGATTCAAAGAGATGGAGGAGGGAAACGGGTTATCCTATGGCCAGAGAGGACAGAGAGATAGCCGTTACCAAAGAAAGAAGGATCGGGGAGGAGGTTTGGGGTGTCACAGAGACTGTCTTCATCAGACAAAGAGTGGGGAGAACAGATGAGAGGGGCCTGGGGTGCTCTTCCCTGGTGGACATCAGTCCTAGGGACCAAGAAGAATGCACCCACCTAGAAAGGAAGAAGGTGCACTGCACAGGGAGGGGCTGTGCCCAGGGTCCAGGGGCTCCCAAGCCTCTGAGCAGAGGAAGCTCCTTACCCTCCAAATAGTTCCGAGCAACGAACTTGAGGATCTCGTCTAGCCCGATGACTGGAAGTGAGATCTTAAGGACCATGAGCCACTGATTGCAGTCCAGGGCCCGGAGCTTGAAGATCATCTGGGGGGAGCAGAGAGGAAGGACAAGCATCTTGCTTAGGAGGGCGCAGAAAGGGAGCCCGCAGACCCAGCACTGCCCCACCCTGAGCCCACCCTCCTGCTGTTCTCCGTACTTGTAGCTGTCATGGTCTGCGTCCTAAACAAGCTCCCTATGGGGGTGTGGGGACAGCCTCCCACCCCAGCAGAAGACTCACCGGCAGGGGGTCGACATAGAGGATGAGGAAGTGGAGGGACATGGAGAGGCCGATGGAACCCACCAGCCAGATGTTCACCCAGGGTGGCATCCGCACCAGGGACTGGTTCTCGGACAGACTGTAGGGAAGCAACCGCAGAGCCAAGAGCGGGAGACAAGAAGAAAACAGTGAGGAGAGAGGAGGCAGGCAGGAGGGCTCAGGGCAAAGGCGGTGAGCTCCGGGGAACGTGGCAGGGACAGGGTGGGCAGCCTCACCTGTTGAGAGCATTGCACATCTCAATGGTGACCAGCACAGACAAGGCCATGGTCATGGGCTCAGAAGCCTCAAAGACCTCACAGTCCACACCCTCAAAGTGGGGGTGGTCCTCAGTGCACTGCATGAAGTGAGTCTGCAGTGGAAAGGAAGGGGGTGGGGCAGTTAGGCCCCATGGTGGCTCCACGCATACCCTCCTGGTTCCCACCCCTCCACTCAGTCCTCCCCCTACCAGCTGGTGGTAGTTGACACGAGGCCCATCCTCTGCATACAAGAACCACCAGGCAGCCGCTCCCACAGTAGCTGCACCCACATAACCTGTAGGAGAAGATGGGAGTCAGGGTCAGGGCTGAGAGTTGGGAGGCATTAAGAAAGCCTCACATGGCTGATTGAGGACAAGGCCCATCAAGGCAGCAACACTGGGGCAGATGGTGTGCTGGAGGTGAGGGTCAGCCTCTAGGGCTGGGAAGGACTTGGGGGGTGAGAGTTGCACCCCAGCCTGCTCACCCCCAATTGCCATGTAGCGGAAGAAGAGCCAGCCACTGATGAGGGGCTCCTTGGGGCTGCGGGGGGGCCGGTCCATGATATCCAAGTCTGGTGGGTTGAAGCCCAGGGCCGTGGCCGGGAGGCCGTCTGTCACCAGGTTGACCCACAGCAGCTGCACAGGGATAAGGGCCTCGGGCAGCCCCAAGGCGGCTGTCAGGAAGATGCTGCAAGAAAGGAGGTAGTTGGCTACGGTTCTGCCTCCAGATCTGGGTCTCCACCGAGCCCCTTGTAGGTCACCCTGGAACGCCAGCCCCAGCTGCTCACCAGACCACCTCGCCCACGTTAGAGGAAATGAGGTAGCGGATGAACTGTTTCATGTTGTTGTAGATGGCGCGACCCTCCTCCACGGCAGCCACGATGGTGGAGAAGTTGTCGTCTGCAAGCACCATCTCTGAGGCAGTCTTGGCCACGGCGGTGCCAGATCCCATGGCAATGCCAATCTCAGCTTTCTTCAGGGCAGGGGCGTCATTGACACCATCACCTGTCTAAGAAGAGAAGGTGGGACTCAGAGACTCCCCAGCCCTTTCCTGGAAACCCCGCACCAGGACCCCAATCCTTCCAGTCCATCCCCCTCCCCACACCTGTCCCATTTAGTCCCTCCCTGCTGCACCTCCAACTCCCCAAAGGTGTTCATTTCCATGGATACAAAGAAGACAGCCCCAGGGCCAGGACCACCACAAGGCCTAGACCAGCAGACCCCTGTCTTCTCACCATCGCTGTGATCTCATCGAAGGACTGCAGATACTCCACAATCTTGGACTTGTGGGAGGGCTCCACACGGGCAAAGCAGCAGGCGCGCCGGCAGGCTTCCCGCTGCTCCGGCAGGGGCAGGTCATCGAACTCCCGGCCAGTATAGGCCCGGTCCATCACCTCCTCGTTCTCGGTGAAGATACCAATTCGTCGGCAGATGGCGATGGCCGTGCCCTTGTTGTCCCCTGTGATCATAATCACTCGGATCCCAGCGTCACGGCACAGCTGGATGGAGCCTGTGACCTCCTTGCGGGGTGGATCCAACATGCCCACCACACCAACGAAAGTCAAGTCCAACTGGGGAGACAGAGCAGAGCAACAGGGTCAGGAAGGGACTTGGGAAATGAGTCAGGGAGGAAGCTGTGGGAAATGATGAGAGAGAGGCCAGTGATCTGAGGAAAAGCCTATGCCTTGGACCTGCAACCTGAGGGGTCTGGTGTTCAAACCTCAACAGGGCCTAGTAAGCTCAGGGGATGAGTGTTTCCTGCCCACCTGTGTACATGTAGGCCCTGGCAGGGCCAGGCACATCATAGGTGCCCAGATCTTAAGGAAAAGAACAAGGGCTGGAGGTCAGGGGTGGTTCCTGCTTTCAGGGTTCCATTGACTTGGTTTCCAACTTTGAGCAAATTCCTTTTACCTGCTGGGCCACAGTCACCTCCATAAAATGAAGAGAGTGGACTCGGGGGCTGTTCAGAGAGCCCACCCACTAAAAGCCCGGGAGCTGGGCCCTAATGCAGATGAACACACTGCATCTGCACCGGGAGGGGCACAGTTGGCGACCCTGTACGTACAAGCTCCTCACCTCACTGCAGCCCAGCCCAGGAACTCAGAGGAGCACGAGGCTGGCCAGTTCCAAAGGTTCTTTCAAGCTCTATGTTCTGTATTCTATGACCCACGATACGGAGGGGTTAGTTTGACTGATGAAGTAGAACATGACAAGGGTGGTCGAGGGTGTCAGGTGGCTGGCTAGAAAGCTCCCTCCTCATGACTTTGGGACACTGGGAGGCTCCCATCCACTCACCTCGTACTCCTGGAACTTGGAGGAGTCATCCAGGACCATCTCCTCTCGCTTTGGGGGTGTGTCCCGAGTAGCTAGGGCCAAGCATCGCAGGGTGTCCCGGCCAGTGCCCCACTCCTTGATCACTGACAAGATCTTATCCTTCACCGGCCCTGTCAATGGCACCCGGGT